CCCCAAAACCCCAAAACCCCTCAACTGCAAATCAATATTTAATTTATGAAATTAAGATTATAGGTAAAATTGTTTTTAATCATCTATTTGTATCTTTTAAATAAAAATCCTCAATTGCTTTATTTTACATGTTCTGTATTCTTTGTAATTTTATTTTTACTCCTCTCAGGAGATAAACTTTTATCAATAACAATTGATCTTTGGGTTTATCTTGGAATAAAAATCTTATTATTGTATATTGGATTATTCTAAACCATATCATAGGATTCTTCATCGTTTCTATTTGATCTCTTAGATTCTAAAATATACTCAGGAGGAACTTTGTTATAAATAGCAGTTGATTTAAATTACACTTAAGAGTTATTATTCATTGCCATATCTGAACTTTTTGTTGCGAAAATTTTCAAACCGTATTTCGCTTTTTGTTCTTTGAGCTACCGTAAAAGCTCCTCGTCAACTAAGTCTTCTGTTTATATCATTTTTGTTCTTAGTTCTTTTCTATGTATCATTTTTAAAGTTTCTCTCATTTTCAGCATGTTTTAATCAGGAAACTGAACTCCAATACTTGCGCAATCTTTATTAATAATTCTCATCGATTCTTATCTTCTCTTTTCAGGAGTGAATTCTTTTATTATAACCTTCCTTTCTACAATAGGATTTACACTCTGCTGATATTATGCATTATCAAAGATTTTTTAAGTTTTGAATTATACATTTTCATTAACGGGCATTTGCTAGTTATCTTTTATAGGTTTATTTTATTTTTCAAGTTCTCTTTTAAGATTGTCTATTTCTTATTGAAGCTTTAATTTAATTTAATCAACTTCTTCTTTTTCTTTTCTACGCTGACGCTGTAAGGTATCTACATTTATCTAGGTTGTCCTTCTTTTTAACAAATCGTTTTAATTAGATAATTTGTCAGGTTTTACTTTTTCTGGATTCCCTTCAATATGCTTTTGATTTCCTATTTTTAATATAGTTTTTCTTTGAATTTTGCTAGCATTATTTACTGATTTTTCTATATTATCATCTGTTTATTCAATATTAGACACTTAGGAAGATATCTCACTCAATTCAAAACTATCATCCTATGCTTATTCTATTACATCTTTTGCTTAACCATCACTCTCAGAGTCCTCTCTATTAGGATCTTCTTCCTCTAGATCTTCTTCAAAGTTTTAAATACCTAACTTATAAAATACTTAAGGCACTTTTACGACCTAAAATTTTGATCCGATATAGAACAACTCATTTATCAAAGATTTTCTGTCCTTTTTTAGATTCAATGCATCTTTGAGGGTAGTTTCTAAGTTATTTCTCAATTCTTGATAGGTATTAGTGACTTCGTGCAGCCTTTACTCAACTATGTTTTTCTAGGATGAAATAGTCATATTTTCTTGAATCTAATTTTGATACTTAGTTTCAAGAAGGTCATATTTATTTGAAAGCTCTCGAAATCTCTCATTTATCTTAGTATGCTTGGTGTTGATCTCATGATTCTCTTTAATTAAAAACTGATGAATCTGCTGATTTTCTTCTAGCTTATCATTTAAGATAGAGACATCCTTTTTCAAAGTGCTGATTCTATTTCTTTGAAAATACAGTGTCATTTCATCCTCTACTTCAGTTTAAATACCAGTAGTAACTTTTCGTTTATCATGCTTATATCTATGAAGAACTTTCTTGGCTGACTACAGTTAAACATCAGATAACCTACTAAGGAGATCATTTAATATCTCGTGAAATTAGTCATTGTCAATTTTCAAGGCTGGATCAAGAGATGTTCTGAAATATTTAGCTGGGTCCTTTCTATCATGCTCTATCATTTAAATTAGCATACTTCCCAAATGTTATGATGCTTCTGAGAAGGTTAAATTGTTATTGCTGAATTCTTGCTATCTCATTTCCTCATTTAATTTCTCATTTTGAGATTTGATTTGCTTTTAGATTTATCTGCTATCTATATTCTTAAACATTTCATCCGCTGTCTAGCTCTTCATGTCCTTCAAGTTTTCATATTGTTAATTCAACCAAGTCTTGACTTTGGCCTCTTCAGCACTTAAATTACTCTCTTTTTCGAATTCAGCTATTAAGTTTTGAAGAATTGGAGCCTTTGAAAACAAATTTTCTCAGTATTCCTTGTCCTGATTGTAGAAATTAAAATACTTTTAAAACTACTACTCATAGTACTCTTTTTCTTTTAAAATACTTTCATAATTAAGCCGATGGATACTTATCTATTGCTACAATTTTTCTTGCATTTTATCATAACTTATCTGTAGATTATTAAGGAGAGAAGAGAATATTTGGAAAAATCTCTAATTTCTAATAATCTTTTTCAATGTTTTTTGTGAGTTTATGTCTTTGAAAATTGTTAAACTCTCTTAAAACTGTTTCTAGTAATCATATTTATTTTAATTTTAGATCTCCTTGCTTAAATCATTTTTATTTATTTACTATTCAAGATTCTCCAAATACTTATCAAATTACCTTTGAAATGCTTACTCTCTTCTTGTAATCAAACTTTGATTACTCTTTTCCTATATTTCATTAATACTCTATTGCTATTAATCAGTCAAAGTGATCTCATTATTTACGCTACTTGATGGATTCAATGTTATCTGATTAAGTGATCATTCGCTAAATTAATTTGTGTTATCTTAGAGACTAATACTTGTTTCATTAGACAGGCAATTCTTGAGATTAAAACGGTTTTTAGGAAGATCCATGTAAATTGAGGAATCGTTCAAGATCATTTTTTGCTTAATCATGTTACTGTTTGTCTTCATTATTTTGATCTGCCTATTGACTAGAACTCAGTTCTTCAAAGCAACTTAAGTCATATCTGATATGTAGGAACTTGAATCAACTGGCTGAAAAGATAAATGCTTTTGATAATAGTTGTCTTTTTCTCTTGTACGAGTTATACTGTTTTATTTCTATTCGATTATTTCTTTTAAGTCCTAAGCAGATCGCTGTATATCATTTGTAACTGAATTTGTTGAGTCGTTTTCAATATGAGCTGAAAAGTTTCTAGCATCGTTTAGATCTGGGAAAATCTAATCCTTGTAATCATTTTTATACCTGAACGTTCTATTAAACGCATTTTTATTTATCTTATGCTGGCTTTGCTGGGTTTTGTATTGCACTCCATATGATCTATTTGAGAGATTCGCCCTATTCCTAGTTTTGTTGAAATTAGTTAGAGTATACAGCGCCTTTTAAGGACTATCGTAATTATACTCTATCATTTCTTATGATTGATCTTAATAGTTGGTAGATAAATAAGTATTTTATTGATGCTTTCCCAATTTTTCCATTTAACCTTTTTAATTACTTTAATAAGCTAATTCACATAATTTATATTCTATATATCTATATTTCTCCATGACGGGGTTTTGGGGTTTTGGGG